ACCACATGAACACACGGCTTTCAACAGGTCTGGGAGTTGCGCTTCCTCTTGCACTCCTGTAGAGCTGCCACGAGAAGATCATGGTATTCACTGTCTCATGGAAGACTTGAACCCAACCTGGAACCTAAGCCAAGCCCATTTAACTAGAAGCCCAGACCAGAGCCACAATAGTCAATCCTAAGTGAGAAAAATGTTGTTGTAAGCCACTAGCTGTTGGGGGGTGGTCTGTTATGCAACAGTATCTCAGCAATAACTCACACACCACTCTTAGCCAGTGAGCACTAGGGTGCTGCTTTCCAGTTTGAGTGGTCCGTGTCAGGGTATACAGTTCGGTCACTCCACTGTAGTCTGCATTTTCTAGATGAAGGGCTATTGATTTGCAAAGGGTCTGACTAAACATATGTAGGAGCATTTTAATGGTCAACCATACCCACTGAACATAAAAATGCAAGAAGAGGAAGAGGAGAGAAAGGTCAGGGGGCTGTGTATCCTGTATGTCTTGACCTCCCCGAAAACCATTTTAGAGAAATAACTTTAAGGAACAAGAAGAGAGCAGATCATTAGTCGGTTCATCTTTAACGGGATGATTACAGGTAATGCACTATAATCTGCAGAAATGCATCTTCACGGTGACTTCAGTGACCCTTGGGGCAGCCTAGTATTGCATGCCTATCTCAGATGGGGCACGTGTGTAGCTGGAAGAAGTAGAGAGGGAAAAGAAAGAGGGGTGATGTCAGTCACAAAGTGGGAAAATCAAGGATTGATGCTGTTTGGTGTGTAACAAGCAGTTTGGGAGAGTAGAGGGAGCTTGAGGGTAGAGAGACAGCAGTCAATGCCATGTCGAGGCATTCCCTGCAGGCAATGGGGAGCCATCGCCAAGTAGTGTCTTCTTTGGCACTAGGGATATCTCCTGGGATCACTGCCTGTGTCTGATCATTCTTCTGCCAGGAGCCTAATCTGTAAAGTGCAGCCTGCATCACCCAGGTTGCAGAGTTCCTATCTGGAGTGGAGATGTTTGCAGGGCTCAGAGCAACATCTGGCACTGGTAGATACTATAATTATTTTTGGCAGCTAATTCAACACAGACAGTCACGATGACAAACTTTAAAACAAAAATTTTATAGATACACAAGATACTACTAATAGTGACTGCCTCTTGAAAGGGAAAAGGAGGAACAGGGATGGGAAAGAGACAGACCTTTCACTGTATATCCTTGGGTGTTGCATTAAAATATTTCTTGGTTAGAGTTTTTGGCACCTTCAATCTTGTGCCCGAAGTGAGCGCCTTGCTTGCCTCACTCTAGTCCCAGCTCTAGAGAATCAAAGAGGTAAATACAGGCAAAGTTCTTAGTAGAGTGCCTGGCTCATTGTAAGTACCTAAGTGTTCCTTAGTCATGATGGCAACATGAATTGAAGCTCATCCTTTTTCTTTAAGGAGGAAATTAAAAACAGGAAACAAAAAAATCACGTTCTGAGACTAAATAGGCAGCTCCTGTCTGGAGGCGAGATGAGAAGGCAGACAAGGTCAGGAGCTGGTTGGATGGACACGGGAAATCCGGGGTGGAAAGGAAGACTGTGCTGTCACAGTATAGGAAGAGCAACTAGGGTCTCATAACAATGTATGTATAAATTTTTGTATGAGAGACTAACTTGAACTGTAAACTTTCACTTAAAGCACAACAATAAGACAAAAAAAAATCACGTTCTAATTGCATTTAGGAGGGAGCAAGAAACCTGAAGCAAAAGAAGGTGAAAGAGGATATCACCTTGATTTCTGGACTCTTCACTGGAGACTGTATGTTGCTGTCATTGGGTGCCATTGAGTCGATTCCAACTCATAGCGACCCCATGTGACAGAACTGCCCCATAAGGTTTTCTAGGCTATAATCTGTACGGGAGCAGATTGCCAACTCTTTCTCCTGCACAGCCACTGGGTGGGTCTGAACCGCCAACCTTTCAGTTAACGGCTGAGTGCTTAACTGCTGCATTACGAGGGCTCCTTGGAGATTGTATAGCTGATCTGAATAAAGATATAGTAACAAGCTATGCAAAAGGGTCCAGTTTTGCCCAGGACCCTTCCTAGGACTCAACTATCTGTTGCACGAAGCAGCACCTTCCTTAAAGTGGCCCCAAGAAATGTAGCATTCTTAATGTTTATTACCTGTCCTTAATCCATGACCTGTTGCTTGCACTCTATGGTCTAGCTCAGGGCTTGCAAACTATGGCCCATAGGCCAAACAGTGGCCTGTTTTTGTAAATAAAGTTTTATTGACACACAGCCAAGCCCAGCATTTACATATTGTCTGTGATTGTTTTCCTTACAGTGGCAGAGTTGAATAATTTTGACAGAGCCTGTCTGGGGCCAGCAAAGCCCAAAATATTTATGATCTGACCCTTTACAGAAAGTTTGCGGACCCCCTGGTCCAGGTGAAGTCAAACTGCAAACACAATCACCTTCTGGATCCAGGTCGATTTTGCAGACCACCATTCCCCACATTTGCAGCCCCTTAGCCGTTAAGGCTGTTTCCCAGGTCCAGACTGCTGTTCTCTGTGTATTTTAAATCTCATCCTAGCAGATTCAGCCAGTTCCATCTCCCACTTACCAAATTATTTAACCCTGTCCATTGCTACCTTCTAGTTTCCTTGCCAACAAAAAAAGGGGTACAACCACCTCCTATTCCTAGAAGTTCAACTCTTGGTTTCCCTTATAACCCACTTTTTTCCCTAATCCTCTGAGTTCCTGCCTGTCTCAACATTGTTTTTAAAATTTTATTTATTTTGACAGTCCTAATTCAGCTTCTCTTGAAGGGAGTTCTCAGCTTTGTGCAAATATTATTTCTGTCTCTCCCAGAAAGTTCAGTCTCTTTTAACGTGCTCTGCAAGTTACACTTACCAATTCAGATAAAAATGCTCTACTGCCACGTTGCCCATCAAGTCAATTCTGACTCATGGCAACCCAGAGTAGAGCTGGGTTCCATAGGGTTTTCGATGGCTGATTTTTCGGAAATAGAGTGCTAGGTCTTTCTTCTGAGGCACCTCTGGGTGAACTTAAACCTCCAATCTTTTGGTTAGCAGCTGAGCGCGTTAGCCTTTGCACCACCAAGGGACCCTTGCTCTATCACCAACCAAAACCAAACCTGTTGCTGTGGAGTCAATTCCAACTCGTAGCAACCCTATAGGATACAGCAGAACTGCCCCATAGGGTTTCCAAGGAGCAGCTGGCGGATTCAAACTGCCAATCCTTTGGTTAGCAGCCATAGCTCTTAACCACTGCGCCACCAGGCTCCTGCTCTACCACAGGGTTTGGGAAATTATGGCCCATGGGCCAAATCTGGCCTGCCACCTGTATTTGTAAAGCTTTATTGGGATACATTTGTTCTTTTACCTATCATCTATGGCTGCTTTTGTGCTAAATGACAGAATTGAGTAGATGCAAAAGAAATTTTATGGCCCCACATGGCCTAAAATATTTACTATCTGTCTCTTAACAGAAAGATTTTGCTGACCCCTGCTGTACTCTGCATCCAAAGTTGCTAAGCAATGGCTAAGGTGAATCTAAGCCCTTTAACTGAGGAGAATCAAGCAGGGGAATACAGGTAAAGTTCTTAGAGCAGCGCTTGGGTCATTGTTAGTACTCAAGTGTTAACTAGTCATGATGGGACTATGAATTGAAGCCCATACAACTGTTAACGGCAATAACAAAACAGTGCCACCTTCTAGAAAGGTTATCTTTCCTGTTTATCTGAAGAGTTATAATTCCAGAAGTTCAAGGAGCATTTATATGTGAGTTTGATCTATGGGTTCCCACTGGAAAGGTCAACGACACTTCTGTTTCTAGAACAGAAAACGTAGATAAGACCTCATGACCAACAGCATCAAAGTAACAACAGGATCTGTACAATAGCACCAGCGCTCACCAGCCACTTTTCTCAACATTCAAAAACAATAGCTCCAAAGCAAAGAAATGATTAATACCATCATAAAGTCTCTACCATCATTTTAATCTTCTTTTTTCTTACAATAAAGAGATTCAACGCTGCGTTATCACCTCCTGATGTAAAACTTAAATAAATGGAGTCAGATTTGTTCAATTGTCATAACAAAATAAGCTATGTACCTCTTGCTATTTCATAAGTGAAATATCCCCGCGCATACAATCTATAAAAATTCGTTTTCACATCCTTTTCCCTAGTTTATCAAAAACAATGGATCTACTTAATCTAACTTAAAAGCACAGATGTTTAGTTTGATGAGGGTGCACGAGAATTTGTATTTAACAAAGATGGTATTTGCAAAAAAGATGCCAACACAGAACAAACAAAGCAATGTTGGATAGATTACATATCCACTGGGAAGCCACAGTCCCTAAAGCTTGGGCCAACTGAAACGTTCATTGATGTAAGCGCTGGGTTTTCACCTGTCCATTGGTTCAGCAAACATTAAGTGCTCCCTGTGACGAAACCATGCTCGTCTGTCCCACACATCACATATCCCAGAACCATGCTCAGGGCCCAGTGGACCCCTAGTCCTTTCTTTATGAATACAAGTAGATGCAGAATTTTGAATCTCACAAAGCAGTCACTGGCTGGTCAAGGGTTAGCTTGATCTTTGGCGCCACCTGCAGATCAAATTGCATTTCACTGCAGTACAAAATTGGGTTTTTTCACTTATCACTGAGGAAACCATGTGCATTTATAATTCAGTTACTGAAGTAGGGGATGAAGAATGTCACACCATAACTTGTCTGTGGAGGAATGTAAAAACAAAAAAAGGAAATGTCCTTCTTAGTTTGCCTTTTGATGGTAAAACACAGATCAAGGACATCATGTAAACACGTACAAGGCGAAGACTCTCGAGACCACCACCCACGTTAAGTAATAGAATATTTCCAGCCATCTGGGGCCCTCCACGTACCCGTCCTCATCTTAACTCCCTTCCACTACACAGATCAGTTTTCTTTTTCTACGTCATCTAAATAGTTCAATAATTCCCTCAGAGAATTTTTTTTTTTTTTTTTTTTAAGATTTAGGAATTCCAGATCAGATTTAAGACTGGAATCCATCATGAAGAGGTGACTCCTACTGGACAGAGCAGTGCCCCATGGCTCCCACCTCTGAACAACTGGCTTAGATCATTCTTGGAGGGAAGATGGCAACGTGGAGAAGTGTCATTACCGCGTTACTTGGTATCTGTCCTCACGCCAGGGTCACTTGAGCCATTGCTTCTAGAAGACTGAAAGGCAGGAAGAGGCATCGTCGGGACTGATAGCCAGTCTGCCTTGGAGGGCTGGGCAACAGCCTTTGTTTGGGATTCCTGACAGCTGACAACTCTCCTTGGCTGAACTAGAGGCCTTGGCTGGGCTCCAGGGGTGCCTCAAGCTGGCCCACGGAGACCAGGGTGCCAGGCTGGCTTGAGGCACTGCTCTCCGATGGAAAAGTGACCAACTCCGAGTTCTTATTCTCACTCTGGTCACTGTGCTGCTTCTTATGGCATCTTAGAGAGTCGTCCCTGACAAAGGAGGCACCGCAGGTATCACAGCAGAAGGCCCTCTGGGTCACTATTTTGGCCACGTGTTGGGAGCTGCTCTCTCTGGGCCCTTCTCTGCCCACCGGGGCCCGGTTCTCCGTTCTGGCCTCATCCCTGTGCACCTTGTCGATGTGCTTGGCCAGGCTGCTGGGCCGCTTGGTGTCGAAGCTGCAGAAGTCACACTTGAAGGGGCGGTCCTTGCAGTGGACCCTGCTGTGCACGCGCAGGGCGGCTGCGCTGGAGCAGGAGTAGCTGCACTCGGGGCACTTCTCGGGGTGATCAGCCTGGTGCAGCCGGCTGTGCTCTAGGAGGTCGGCCCGGTCCCGGCCCTGGAAGGCACAGTGCAGACACTTAAAGGTGTGCTTGATGCGGATGTGTGACTTGAGGTTCGCCTTCATGGTGCAGCGGACGTCACAAAACTCACACTTGAAAGGCTTCTCCCCCGAGTGCACGATCATGTGCCTTTTCAAGTCCGAGCTGATTTTGAACTTGGCGTTACAGAGCCAGCACTGGAAGGGGGTGTCCCCTAGCAACGGAAGGTGTGTTTCCATTAGAGCAGGCAGGCAAAACAGAACTCCCCCCAAACATGCGTCAGAACACCTGGCCGAAACGAGACCGTTGGGTCTTTTGAACTCCTATTACCCGCAGCCTCCTAGGGATGCCAACACGTACTGAACTTGTCACCAGGTGCTGTCACTGTGCTAAGCACTTCATGCAGATTAACCCCTGAATCCTCAAAAGAATCCCATGAGTAGGCACTGTTGCCCCACTTTATAGACAGGAATACTGAGGCTCAGAAATCAAGCGACTTGACTAGGTCAAATAGCAGGGATTTGAACCCACCAAGCATCCTGGTTTTCAAATCTACGCTCTTGATGAGGACATTTTGTCAGTGTCAATTCTAAGCTCTCATTTAACCTGGCATCTCAAAATTGAACATGGAAGATGGAAGATGTGAGATTTAAGTTACATACAACTGTCCCAAATCAAGCTGAGGCTTATGAGCATGCTCACTATCGTGCTTACGTTATATTTTACCAGGGAATTGGCTTGCCTTACTAGTTCCACTGCTTTATAACTACAGACTGAATTTTTATCTATAAAATTAACATATGAATATGGTAGCAGGAGACAGCGGTTGAATAATGAAGTCTCCTCACTAACTTACAGACCCACTCCCAAGAGGCAGTGCTAATGATTTTTAGTTCTTTTGGAAGTTACTTTAAACAAACATCAGTTGACGATAAGCTAAGATGAGACATTTATTCTGCACTCCTGGTACCTCCATCCCCCCCAAACCCCTCCCATGAAGTGTTGGTTGTGATTTTCACTCTTCTACCATTATCTTCTAAGCCAAGCAACAACTTCACATCTGTTAACCCACCAGCTTGAGCGGTTCTTTGAGGACCCCCTTCTTTCCACTACTCCCCACTTGTCAGAAAGAGCTTTATTTTCAATAATATTTGCATCCTGCCTTATGAATTCCCAAGCTTTATCTAGTCGTTTCCGATTTTCAACTTTAGAATCAAACTACAATTTACATTATGACTCTTGTTACTGCTGCTGCTGTGTGCCGTCGAGTCGATTCAGACTCACAGTGCCCTACAGGACAGAGTAGAACTGCCCATAGGGTTGCCAAGGCTGTAACCTTTATGGGAACAGATCACCAGGTCTTTTCTCCTGCAGAGCAGCTGGTGGGTTTGAACCGCTGACCTTTTGGTTAACAGCTGAGCACTTAACCATTGTGCCACCAGGGCTCTTACATTATGACTGAGTATGTGATATTCACCAGAGCCAAATGCTGTACCTTCTCTTTATTACGGTCACTATCACACCTGGGTCGTTTGATAGTGTCTCTCAGAATTAGGTCAAGTCGATTTATCTTACATGCTTATTTTGTGCCACATTTTAACTTGCTTCTTGATTGGATCATGCATTTCGTGAGTAAAAAGATTCTTACCATAATCTCAAAGTCGTCAGGTCTCCTGATTATATAACCTTCATAAGGAATATCTTACAAATTTTCTGAATTTCTGATCTACTGAATTTCTTCTCTTAACTTTCCATACACGTATCTATTTCCTTTTATTGCAATCTCAGCTTTATTTAGATATTCATGTAGTCATATATCAAATATCTCATGCCAAATTTTGTTTTTCTCCCCTCACTTAGTAAGAATTCATCTTCCAGTAACTTCCACTGGAACAATGGCTGGGAGTAAACTCTTGAGTCCTTGCGTATCTTTTGTCTATTCTGCCCTCAGACTTGAGATAGTTTGGCTGGGTATAGTGTTCTAAGTTCAAACTCATTTCCCAACTTTGAGGATACTCTTCCACTGTCTCGTAGGAGCCAAATGACTGAGAAGTCTGTCTACATATGGATCTCCACTGCTACTCCTTTCATCCTGCTTGGCAGCTCATGAGCCCTTTCACTCTGAAGACACATGCCTTCTAGAATTGGGAAATTCTTCTTATTTCTCATTTGAGTTCCTCATTTCTGTTTTCTTTTCTTTCTAGACCTGGTCAGAAACCAGATTTCCAGCTTCTTATTCTTTCTCTGTTCTCTAACCCATACTTTTTGCTCCAATCTCTGGGAAATTTCTTTAACTTTCTATTTCAGCAACCCTGACTTAATTCAGTATCCGTTTGTTCTCATTAACTTTCCACAGAACCCTATGTGGACACAACATTTCTGCCAGTGGGTGGTTGCCAATTAGAATTTAAGGATTTTTGTCTATTACTCAAGTAATCTGTACCTCCAGGGTTAGTTAGTTATGAGACTTGGCCCATCTTATGCCACTCATTTCTCTCAAGTGACTGGTAATGCTTGGCTGACTCTTTAGATTTAGGAAGAACGGATTGGTGTCATGGGTTTCACCTGCTGGCGGGTATATGTTGGGCTGTTCTGCTGCTAGGCTTCTCCCTTGAGCTCTGCAGCCTTGCCAGTTTATATTCTGGTTCTAAGTCCAGAACTTTCAGGCCAGCCAGACATTGGCTGGAAAGGCTAGCTCTCATGTCTGGCCTCCTGCCATTTGTTTGCAAGAACACAGCCTTTTTTTTTTAAACTCAATTTCAAAAGTCAGCAGACTCCTATCTGCTTGCCATCTTTGACAAATCCATTGAAAATTCTCATCTGCTTATGAACTTCATCTCCCATTTTTATGTGCCACAATGGGTCTATTTCTTTTGTATCTTTTTATTTTTATTTAAAAAAATTTTTTAAAACTGTATTTCAGTCGGGTCTCACAAAGGGAAGAAAAAAATTATTTGCAAATTCTAACTTCTAGACCCAAAAGTTTATGCTATGCAATTACATTTTAACTGATTTTGCTGCATGTTTCTGAATTAAGTCATACAACCAGAAAACAAGTTAAATTATTGAAACACTTAGCTTATACATCAAACATTTATTCAACATGTATCTATCCTTTGCTTCTTGACCGTGGTATTGCATACCCATACCCAGCTGCAGTCTACATCCCATACCCGTTGCTGTCAAGTCAATTCTGACTCACAGAGACCCTATGCAACAGAGTAGAACTGCCCCATAGGGTTTCCAAGGAATAGCTGGAGGATTTGAACTACCGACCTTTTGGTTAGCAGCCATAGCTCTTAACCACTGCGCTACGAGGGCTCCGCATTCTACATAGCCAAGTTATAAAACCCTGCTGTCAGACTTGCATGTTTTACTGAAAGCTATTGTGCTGGCCATAGAAAAACCACAAACCTCATAATCACCGCAAAAATTCCAAATTCGTTTACTAACACCACAAAGGTGCTTGGGTTTTAAAGTAAATGAAGGACAAGAACTTAGAAAGGGCCAGGGACTTACCCGTGTGGGATCGGAGGTGGACGGTGAGCTGGCTGGAGTTGCGGCTGGCGTAGGGGCAGAGCTGGCATTTGTACGGCCGCTCGTCAGAATGTATCCGCAGGTGCTTCTTCAGGCTGCTGCTGTCCACGGCGGCATAGTCACAGAGGTGACACTTGTGGGGCTTCACGCTGGTGTGGCACCGCATGTGCATTGTCAGGTTGTCCTTCCGGCTGAAGCACTTGTCGCAGAACTCACACTTGTGAGGTTTATCTCCTTGCAAGACACAAGGATTCAAGGTTAAGGGTTTCTACATCAGAGGCAACATAGAAATTTGACCAAGATGGTAGCCTAGGCATATAGGTTTGCCTCCTCTTTCTGCCCAAACACTCAGAGACAGGAAGATACTGAAGTCTCAATCAGCCCACTGGGAAACAAGAAGGGATGCTGTTGATGGCTCAGAAGTTTTGAACAATCCAGAAGGATCAACTTGAACTATCAGAATCAAAATGAGAGGACAGCAGGGGGCCTAGAAATATCAACACCCAAAATTCATTTTAATACAGCTTTGCTGCCTATTGACACTCTATACAGGGTCTGTCCCCCCTGTTCCCACCTCTCCGATCCTAGCCTTCTCTCTAAAGAGAACCAGATTTCTCTGAATTGGAGGTTGGAGGGTGTGATGACGGTTACATTAAATGCCAGGTGATATATGGCACTCTGTGATTCACTTTAAAAAAAAAAAACCCAAACCTGTTGCCATTGTGTCTATTCCAACTCATAGTGACCCTATAGGACAGAGTAGAACTGCCCCATAGAGTTTCCAAGGAGCGCCCAGTGGATTCGAACTGCTGACCTTTTGGTCAGCAGCTGAACTCTTAACCACTATGCCACCAGGGTTTCCATACATGAATATTAGCATTTATATTTCTTAGGTGAATTGCTTGTTCACATCCTTTCTCACTGAGGAGTCCTCTGTGTGGTCCGAATATCAATCCTGTCCTAGTTACACATTTCTTCTTGGGGGTCATTAGTCTAAACTTCTTTTCTTAATGGTGACTTGTTATTCACGCATTTTAACTTTGACTTAGTCAGATTTAATCTACCTGTGATCTTTGCCTCTCATTTATTTGCCTGTGTGCCTATACTATATTCCTGACTTGGTTGTAGACTGTAACATTTAGCTAATTCAAAATATTTGGAATTGGTGAAGGGTGAGGTGAAGAACTATATAATCTTTGCCCTAATAAATTATCAATTGTCCCAACACCATAAGAGTTCACCCATTCTTTTATCAACTTGAAATGCCACTTTTATTAGGTATGGAATTTGCACATGTACACGGGCCTACCTCTATACTCGAAAAACCAAAAAAAAAAAACAAACCTGTTGCCTTTGAATCAGTTCCGACTCATAGCGACCCTACAGGACTGAGCAGAACTGCCCCATAAGGTTTCCAAGGAGCAGCTGGGCGAGTTGAACTGCGAACCTTCTGGTTAGCAGTCAAACTCTTAACCACTGCACCACCAGGGCTCCTTCTATGCACTATTCTGTCCCTGTTTGTCTATTCCAGTTGCAGTAGCTTTATAGAATCTTGATTTCTGAAAAAGCAAAATTTGATTACCCAAGATCTTCTGACTACTTTTGTGCTTCCTCTCTTGCAGATGAATCTAATTATCCAAAAAGCAGCTGGGACAGTGACAGGGCAGTGCAGATGGCAAGAGGAACTCATCCTGTCACTGCAAACTTCCAAACAATATAATTGACACATCTTTTACTGGAATGATAAAAACATTGACTATAAGAGCAATATATACACTCCACGTAGAAAACTAGGAGAAAAAGAATTCAGGCTGCTCTTAAACCCTCTATCCAGAAATAGTCACTGTTAACATTATCATTTTTCTATTATTTTTTGTTTAAGATTCTACATGGGGGGAAAATTAATAGCATTAATAGGATGCTCCTATTTCCCACTGGCTAAGAGATCTGGAGAACTAGAGCAGCTGAGTATCCTAAGTATCCAGTACAGCCAGGTATTTCTATCTTCTCTTTCCTCCCTCATCCCCCACCCTCGCCCCTTTCTATTGTATATTTGAAAACTTTTTAGCTTTTTACCTCCAAGACAAACTGGGATTTAAGGCGCCCCCCCGCCCCGCCAAAAAGCAAAAAACAACGTAACTTTAGAATAACAGTAGTAAAAATAAGGTCAGATCCAAGTTCTGAGCCTGGTTTCCCAAGACCTGTCCAATGTGATCACAGCCTGGCTTTCTAATTCACTCTCCCCAAGAGTCCTGAGCAAGCTGCATCCTAGGGACACAGCTGCTTTTGATGGTCTCCATCTGTGCCCTGTTCTTAGCGGCGTCTGTATTTGCTTTTCCAGGGCCAGATTAAGGCATGTGAGGGCCCTCAACACTGATAATCTGTGGTGTGCCCCCCTCTGCTTACCCACGCATTCAAACAGGATATGTGAGTTACATATACATGTATATACGTGTGTCTTAGCTATCCATGATGTAACTTTTTAAATGCAACTATAATATTATCGATTGAATGCAAAAGTGGCATATGCCATTTTAGTGGAATGAGATGAAGTGGATTATAGAATTTTAGTGGATGTGGGGTACTAAGATTTTTTTTACAATATACCACATTTTCTACAAAAATATTCCATATATTCTACAACAAAGAAAATGAGTCACTGAACTTAGTTGTTTCAACAATGTAAAATTCTGTTGATCTCCTACAGTGAAAAATTGACTTTCATCAATTGTGCTTTGGAAACCCTGATGATGCAGTGGTTACAAGCTACAGCTGCTAACCAAAAGGCTCGCAGTTCAAATCCACCAGCTGCTCCTTGGCAACTTTATGGGGCAGTTCTACTCTGTCCTATAGGATCGCTATGAGTTGGAAGTGACTTGACGCAACAGGTTTGGTTTTTTTTGTTTTAATTGTGCTTTAAATGGCTCACACTTCAACTTTGATGCTTGTTTTGTAATGAATGCTATAATTACAAATGAACAAATGAAAAGATGTCAAAGGAAAATTTAACGATCAGAAAACAAATATTACAACTAATTACTACATCTTATTAGATAGACCTTTCATCTCTAGCATGTTATAATTAAAAATTTTTTTTGCTTTTGCTCTTACAAACTCTTCAACAGTTTTGCCACAATTAAGCTGCCCAACAATATCTACTTCTATAAACAAGGATAATGACTCGAATCTTTCTTGAATCATTGTTATATGCTGAGAGTTGAGTCTCTTTAGGGATGAAAATGAGTTTTGTTATGTAGTTTGTGATAATTATAGTTACGAATATGCATAAAGCAACTTCAACATTGGGAAATAACACATTGTATTTTATCTACTATTAGGGAACCATACATGCCTATGCGAGTAAAATCTGTCTTTCCTGAATCTATAAACTTACTTCTCATGTAAGAATGAAATTGAAGCAACTTCTCCGTAAAGGTTTGTATTTTAGTCAGTGGGATAAACCTGCATTAATTTCTTGGATGCCTTCCTGCATTCTTCATTAGGTATATCCACATTGTTTAAGAAGGAGAATCTATTTGGAAGAACTTCGTACACTTTTGCCCTTTTTTCATGCAAGATTCAAGTCTGTTAATGATGGTGTTGTATGTGGTTATGCAAAATTGATCTCTGGCACTCTATTTCTGGAGCACTTCTGTTATTTACTTGGTTCTAATGCTTCTGCCAACAGTGAACTGCTTGATAATAAGTATTTGGCGGTATTTGTTGTGTCCTCAAAATTTTCTCTTAAGTTATGTAAATACCCTCTTAATGATTGGTAGAGATCTGTGCATGCCTTTAAATTTACTTCTGACTCTTGGAGACCTTGACTCAGCCAATGAAAATGCTGCACTATATTATCCCACATAACCAACACAAATACATATTCTAGTGTTTGCATTTTGTTGGCGATGTCTTGAGCGTCTCTTGTGGTATCTCCTTTTTGTGGCTGGTCTTCAGCAATATTTTCTAAGGCATCTAGAATCTGAGCGCATGATTCCAGGGTTGCACTCGTTGCTACAGGATGCACCTCCCAATGTGTATTAGAAAGACATTTTAATATTCAATCATTGCCTAAATGTTTCAAGAACTGCCCATCAGTGAGCAGAGGTGGCAAAAAACGTGTAGAGTAACTGAACAGTAGGGAAAAAAAAAATCAACTTCCGGACAACAATCTACCGTGCTACATCCTACAAGATTAAGTGAATGTGCCGCACATGGTATGAAAATGGCATATGCATTATGTTCTAGAATTTTCTGTTGCACGCCTTTATAACGCTCTGAGACACTGGTAGCATTGTCATAAGACTGGCCTCTGCGCTTAGAAAAATCAATTTGCAAACTTCACATAAACAGTGAAGTTCTTGATTTGTAATTTCTGCACTGGTATGACTTTTCAAGCTAGTAAACGTGATAAATCACTCGGCAGGCTTTCCATCTGTGGGATATAACGTATCTTAAAACAATACTTAGCTGACCTGTATGAGAAAGATCAGGAGTGGAATCTACAGACAAACTGAAATATCGAGCTATACTTATTTCACTGAAAAGAGTTGATCAAACTTTATCACTTAAGTTTATTAATTCTTCACACATTGTTTTAGACATGATGTGTTGCCCTTTCTTATGTTAGCATATTTTGAGATGTGACCTGCTAAAAATGATCAAACTATACAACAAGTTCAAGTAACCTTCCCAAATTTCCATTTTGTGGGGACCCAAACCCTTCATTTCTTCTTTGAAAAGATAGTCCACATTCAGTGTTGTTATACCTAATACTGACATTCTTCATTAATTTGTGTTTCCAGTTCATGAGTTAAGCCAAAACCATGTCTTTGGTTTAAATATGACAACATACTATCTCTGTGAACTGTTTTCATGTGAATTATATTCGAGTTGTGCCATTTGCTAAATTCATTCATAGCAAATTGAGAATTAAATGATTTAGGACTGAAGAGTTTGCAAACAAAACAATATACAGAGCTGACTGATGGGGAATACAGTAGCCACTCTCTCTTGTAATTTTCACCATTAACTTTGCACCCTAGAAATATATTCTGACTACAGAACCTTGTTTAACATGCAGAAATTTTTGACACAAATTTTCAGATAGTTTACTGTGATAATGACAATCACTTGGCCCTCTTTAGATCCAATAATTTACATTGTTAGAAGAAAATTATTCCACAAAGTAGGATTAGTGTTTGTTATTTATGGAATCTGCAGATGTGACAATT